CAGCTTGGTGTTTAAATGTCTTTCAAAACACAGGCAATTATTTAAAAATCCAAAACTGTTGCTGGACAGTGAGGACAGCCCTGAGGAATAAAGTCAGGGAATAAACACAGGATTTTTTTGCTCTTCCCTGGGGATGAAAGAGCTGGAAATAATGCTGAGAGGGGGAGATCCATGCTCACACTTCCTCAGCATCCTGCTGGGTGGTTCAGCAGGATGGGGATGATCTGATGGCATCAGCCAAGAGTTTGGGATCCTGAGCACATCCTCTGGCTTTGTGTTTGCTTTTTGTGGGTGCCCAAAGGCTGACGTGCTGCTCTTGGCAGAGTCTGGCCCGAGGGCACGGCTGGCACAGCAGTAATTAAAAAGCAAACTCATTAGCTGGGAATAAAGCCCCGGCCCAGAAAGGATGGGAGAGAGGGAGAAGCTGAGTCCATGGGCTCTGGAAAGCCCTGGCTGGGGAGTGTCAACCACCAGGAACATCTCATTCCTGGAGGGCAGTGATTTGGGAGGGCACCAGCCACTGGAGAGTCACTAGAAGAGGTTGGAATGCCCTTTTCTTGGGATTTTGAGAATCTCCCAGGCTTTCTTTGCCATGGGCAGGTGGGATGTGTTCTGATTTCTTCCTCCAGCCTTTGAGCAGACTCTCATTCCCTGGGGTTTTGCAGCAGGTTTGGAGAGGTTGATGGGATTTCTTTCCCTTCTCCAAAGGGAATTGTTGCAGAAAGAGGAGCTGGGAAGGAGCTGTTTGTGTTCAGCAGGACTCGCTCTGTGCCGCAGGGAGGGAGAGCTCGGGGAAAGCATTTCCTGCACTTTCCCTTTGAAGGTGATGTTGGATTTCAAATGTGAGAGGCAGTTTTCTGTGCTGTTTAAATTTAATTTAAAAAAAGTATAAGATCAAGGAAAAAAAAAAAAAAAAAGAAAGGAAAGAGCAATTTTGGCCACAGCATTTGATATAAAAATCCTTCAGTTTTGTGTCTAGTGGAAAGCGTTCCTGCCCGTGGCAGGGGGCTGGGATGTGATGGTCTTTAAGGTCTCTTCCAACAAAACCCTTCTGTGGTTCTGGGACTCTGTGAATATTTTTTAAATTAACCTTAAGTAAAGGTTATGCTGAAACAGAGTTTGAATTTAAATATTCGTTTGGTGCATCTCGTACTGAATTTTTGATTTAAAATTTTAATGTGCTTTCAGGACTCAAACCTGTTTCCATCCTTTAAAGACCAGCATGAAAATGCTGTAACAGAGAAGGAGAAGAAAATTCAATTATTACTGTTAGTTTTATTGAAAAGTGTATTCACAGGTTTAGAGTGTCACCTTCCCCTAATCCCTTCCAAAGCACTTGGGACTTATGGAGAGGGTATTTTCCATTTTGAAGTGTGGGAGAATCTGCACATACAAAGTCCCCTGATAATGCCTTATGTGAAATGTAATGTCTTTATGTGAAATGTTTTTAATTTTTCCAGTGGAGCCAGGCTGGCAGAGCTGGGGGTGCTCACCTGGAGAGGAGAAGGCTCCAGGGAGAGCTCAGAGTCCCTAAAGGGGCTTCAGGAGAGCTGGAGAGGGACTGGGGAGAAGGCATGGAGGGACAGGACACAGGGAATGGCTCCCACTGCCAGAGGGCAGGGATGGATGGGAGATTGGGAATTAGGAATTGTTCCCTGGCAGGGTGGGGAGGGGCTGGGATGGAATTCCCAGAGCAGCTGTGGCTGCCCCTGGATCCCTGGCAGTGCCCAAGGCCAGGTTGGAGCAGCCTGGGATGGTGGAAGGTGTCCCTGCCCATGGCAGGGAGTGGATTGGGATGACTTTAGGGCTCCGGCCAAGCCAATCCATCCTGTGATTCTGTGATTAAATACTTGTTGTAGAAAGTTCACTTTGCTGTCAGGTCAGAGACTGTCACTTCATTTCCCTATGTTTTGGGTTTTTCCCCTCAGTGTGTTAAGGACGAGATGAGAGATGTCAAATTTCCAATCTCCACCAGCAACTGAGGGGGACTGAAGTGCTTTAGGTCTTAATTAACGTGCAGCATGCAAGCAGGCTTTGATGTACAGCCATGTTTTATTTATTTGGGAAGGGAAACACCAGCAGAATGGTTCTAACTTAGTATAAAAATCATCGTAACATGACCATGGAATTAAAATCAGGCTAACTTGACCACAGGAAAAAAATAATTCCTTATATGCCAAGTGGGGGGGGGGGGGAAAGAAATTTAAATATTGATGGTTTTCTGTTCCTACAGGGAAGAAATAAAAGCAGGGAGAGACCGTGAGATAGTTTGTTATTCATAATCAGCATCTTGTCTCCTAATTCATGGCTTTGGCATTTCTCATGGCAGCCCTGAATGTCGTCTTTGTGCCTTGGCTCGCGTCACGGTTCCGATTGTGCTCGTGCCTTCTGGAGGCAGGGCCTAGAAAAGCAATTTTCGAGTGTCCCATCAAACACTGGTGCAGCACAGGCAGGTTTTTGTTGTGGGGCTGTGTTCATTGAGCAGGGAGGGCTGGCTGGGGCTCGCCAGGGCTCTGGGGTCAGCGGCAAAGAGAGGAATTTTGGAGCCTGAAATAGCCGAGAGTCAGGGATGACGCAGCCCCTGCCGCAGCCCTGAATGGGAATTGTGGTCCTCATCCTTGCAGCTGTGGGGGCAGGACTCCCATTGCATGGGAAATGGGAGACTGGGCAGGTTTTCTTAGGATTGTTTTCCAGCAGGGAATGGCGATTTAAGGCTCTTTTTTTGGGGAGTAAAGTGGGAGGAATGGATCTCAAGGCACAGTCACAAGTGGTAGGGTGTTCCTTCTGCCTGGAACTGGGTTGAGTTTTGCATGCTTGGGAGGGTTGGGGGTGTTCAGCCTGGAGAGGAGAAGGCTCAGGGAGAGCTCAGAGCCCCTTCCAGTGCCTAAAGGGGCTCCAGGAGAGCTGGAGAGGGACTGGGGACAAGGGGTGAAGGGACAGGACAAGAGGAATACGTGGGATCCCAGAATGGTTTGGCTTGGAGGGACCTCAAAGCCCATCCAGTCCCCCATGGGCAGGGACACCTTCCACAGTCCCAGGTGGCTCCAAGCCCTGTCCAGCCTGGCCTTGGACATTTCCAGGGATCCAGGGGCAGCCACAACTTCTCTGGGAGTTCCAGCCCAGCCCCTCCCCACCCTGCCAGGGAACAATTCCTAATTCCCATTATCCCATCTATCTACGCTATCAGTTAAAAATCATTCCCTGTGTCCTGTCACTCCATGCCATGTCCCACGTCCCTCTCCAACTCTCCTGGAGCCCCTTTAGGCCCTGGAAGGAGCTCTGAGCTCTCCCCAGAGACCTGAAACACAGTGTTAAAGTGAGTTTGAGTGCTTATCTCTGGGTCAGAGTGTGCTGCTCTCCCCAAAATCCCTGCCTGTGGCTTGGGAATCAATCCATGGCAAGGAATCTCGCTGTGGTCCTGCTGGGGAGAGAGGGGAGCAGAGAAAAGGCCACAGGAAGGAAAACAATAGGGAAGTGGAGGGAAGAGCTTGTGGGTTGAAAAATAGCAACACTTCCAGTAATGTGACCTTTTGCCGAAAATGTTTCCATCAAAAAAAGAAAGTCTCCTCCTCCTCCTTCTCCCTGGCTGAGCTGGGTGCAGGGAGGGGTGAACACGCTCCTGGACCTCTGCTCCATGAGAATATTTGAGAAGAAAATCCCCATGAAAACGCTCTCCCTGGGATGGATAAAATTAATGTCCTGACAGAGGATATGGAGAAAAAAAACCCCACCTTTATTTTCCACTTTTGCTGAAGCTCAGTGTTTCTGAGGGATTAGCCTTTGTTATCCTGTAAATGATGTTCATTCAAAGCTCTCAGCAGAGTTATTGAGGGATTGCCCCGGAGATAGAGAGAGAGAGAGATAGAGAGAGAGAGAGAGATCAAATGTTGCTAATACAGAATACCCGTGAAAGGCAGAACTGTCACTCAGGTGGAATTCAGAAGATTTTTAGTCATTCATGGAGTGGCAGTAATTTATTTTTTTTTAGGAGAAACAAGCTGTGCTCAGTTATTGCAAAGGGGGGGTTGTGGCTTGTCACTGCCAGAGGGGCAGGGATGGATGGGATATTGGGAATTAGGAATTGTTCCCTATGAGGGTGGGCAGGCCCTGGCACAGGGTGCCCATGGAAGTTGTGACTGCTCCTGGATCCCTGAAAGTGTCCAAGGCCAGGCTGGATGAGGCTTGGAGCAGCCTGGGACAGTGGAAGGTGTCCCTGCCATGGCAGGGGTGGCCCTGGATGGGCTTTGAGGTCCCTCCCAAGCCAAACCAGTTTGGGATTTATTATACACCAACACATGGTGGTTTTTGCATAAGTTTCTTAAAGGTAGAGCTTCATGTTCCTGAGCACGGCAGTCCATCAGTTCATCCATGACAAGTCAGCATTAATCCCTTCTGTGAAGTCTCAGATTACTCTTTATCCTCCTCATTTCCAGTGGTGCCGGATGAGTGGAGCAGAGCTGTGGGTGTGTTTGGGAGGCACGGATGGGTCACACACGATGCTCTTTGCTTGTCCCAAACACACGGGTTTGTAGGCGCTGCTGCCTGGTGGAAAACTTGTTGATCCCTGAATTCCTGTA